TAAACATAAACCAACATTTTCAGCATGCCATTGTTGACTAAACATAAACCAACATTTTCAGTAGGATTTTCCCGTTGGATAGGATGAGCAATTGATTTGTCAGCAATAAATGTTGTTAGAAAGTCCCCGGAATCTTGTGTTCTATCGCCGGAAAATAGGNGCAAAATAGATGATGTTGTTCTCCCTCATTGTAGGATTTTCCCGTTGGATAGGATGAGCAATTGATTTGTCAGCAATAAATGTTGTTAGAAAGTCCCCGGAATCTTGTGTTCTATCGCCGGAAAATAGGAAAGTGTTCAGAATTTGGTGAAACTGGAATGGGTCTGGTCGGACACGCCTAGTGATTAGGCTGAGTGGAGAAATTTTTATGAAAAGAGGCCCGAAATCTAGTATTTTGTCGCCGAAAAATAGAACAGTATTCAGATTTTGATGAAAAGGGGATGGGTTGGGTCGGAAAAGGCTGTTGAGCAGGCTGGTTGAAGAAAAAAAATTGAAAAGTGGTCGGGATTAGCCACACGCGCCGGCGCGTGGCTCAGATCTCGCTGGAAAAAGGCTGAACTATTTCGCGCGTGACGGCGCGTGGAGATCTTGTTGCCGGAAATAAGTGATGGGGTTTGGTCGGTTTGGGGTTGGTTCTCGCTGAGGGAGATGAGGTCGTCGGAAAAAGTATGTAGCAAAGCATCTCCGATAGCTTTACATATCACTATTCTTGAGAGAGTTTGGTCATTAGCCTTTTCCTGATAAAACTTAATCTTCTGCCAAAAAAAAGTTGAACTTTCTGTCTGTCCTACGTACACACGAAACTCTAACTTATAGGAGCTATTCTACCTCAAGGCAAAACCTGGTGGCTTTTTATCCCGTAGGGGTGCGGAAGAAGAAAATGTTCAGTTACTTACATGATCAGAAACAAAAGAGAGTAAAAGTATACAACTATATTTCTCTTTATTGTTCTGCACTATCAAGATAATAACAAATTCGTTATACTGCTAAGACATTCATAAGTTCATGTGCTTACAACTTACAAGGTGTGATAACTGAAATAAAGATTTAATGCTGGAAATGAACGAACTTTAAGCTTAAGCTAAGGAATACATGCCAAACACATTTGAAGTAGCAACTCAAAGTGCAAAGGATGTAGAAGTTAGAACCAGAAAAAAGGGAAGAGGGGACTCTTGTTTTCCAACTGCTTTGCATGGGATAACAGGAAACCTTTACCTTATCGGAAAAAAGGGATAACAGTACAATATTTAAGGAAGTTCACTGAGACTTAAGGTTTAGAAGGAACCTTCATAAGTGGGAGGTACAGTAATTTCAAAGTCTAGTACTCTGGTTGAATTAGTCTATAAACAAAGTTCTTCACATGACAGCCAGGATTACTGGGAGTCAAGGGCTGGGAGTAGTGGGTTTGTTTTCAGTAAAGTCCTATTGTTAAAAGCTCTAGATCCGAGGGTATAAACCTTTCCACATCTATCGATTTGGATTCCAAGGTGTTAGTATCAAGCGCTTTCCATCATGCCAAAAGCTATAGCTAATAGCAAGGACGCAACTTTATTTCTTAACCAAGCCCACCAAGCAAGCGCCATGTTCGACCATGACTTTGACCCGGGCTACCCTAGCCCTCTCGTGGGCCTTGCCATAGGCAGGATATTGACGTTACCCAACACCTGCCTCATGCAACATGTTGCTCTTGGGAATTGAACCCACGACCTTGGCTCTAATACCGCTTGTTAAGATCAAGCGCTTACTATCATGCCAAAAGCTATAGCTGATAGCAAGGGCGCAACTTTATTTCTTAACCAAGATCACCAAGCAAGCTCCATGTTCGACCATGACTGTGACCCGGTCTACCCTAGCCCTCTCGTGGGCCTTGCCATAGGCAGGATGTTGGTGTTACCCAACACAAGGGCACCAAGAAGATTGTGTTTGTTAGCTTAATTGGTAGCAAGGAAGACAAAGGGCATGGGATGTTGCTCCATTAGCACTCATGTAGATAATATGGAAAGAGAGGAATAGGAAAGCTTTTGAAGGGACAGAAAATGACTTTGTATATTTGCGGAATAGTTTCTTGTCCCTTATTTCTTTTTTGTGCACCTATGAGATTCTAATTTCTAAGATCAGGTGTCTTTCAAGAGAATCAAATCTCTTTGGTTCCAAGGAGATCATTCCAGAGCACGAAGTACTCATTATTTCAGAAGTGTTGCACTCCCTTGAAATGAGTGCAAGTACATCACACCTCCTACGGTTGTTGCCAATGCTCCGAGTGAATGATAAATAGGCCATGGACTTGGATCTACCAAATGATAAGAATGCCTCTGAGATTCAATCATAAACCACTTTGCTTTGGTTCTATGTAAACCCCTCCTTCACCTCCACCCCCTAAAGTAGTAAAGTAAAAAAGGGCTCTTTGGAGTCTAATTTTCTTTCTATCTGACAGGACAAACAAAGAAATAGGAAGGGATGGTCTTTCATTATAGCATCACTGATATAGCTTCCAGCTGACCCACTGTGCAATTTTTCATCTAATCCTAATCTAACAGCAGAAGATTCCAAATACTTGCCTTAACAAGAGAGAAGTATCTAAATTTTTTGAGACCTGCAACCCATGTATGGTAAATCAAAACATCATTTATGTAAATGCAAAACAAATTCCACACCAACATCTGTGGTATCAGGAGAAGATGAAATGACAGCATTTGAAAGATCCAAAATCTATGGTTGCTCATTACTCACTTGCATTTTGGGTGTTGGTCACAACCTATAAAATAGCCTGCACCAAACCTGCTCACTTTGAAGATTAAAGTTCCCTGAAGACAGCTTGGGCATGTCCTACTTTCATCAGGAAGAGATGCAAACAGAAAATCACCAAACGTTTTCTCCAACATCTTCTCCACCTGATGAATGTGCACATTACCAGTATGTTCACAATACTTGCTAAATCTAGTCCAGTAATCTCTCAAAAGACCTTTCCATTCAGTCAAACCAGCAGAGACATTATCAAGTTCTGTCTCCATGTCGGCAGTGAAGCTATAATCTGTTACTTCAGTAAAGTAATGAGAGAGAAATGCTGATACCATACGCCCACGAAATTCAGGATAGAGTGTTCTCCCCTTGGCAGTGACATAATTCCTATCCTTTAACACTTTTATTGTGGTTGCATAAGTGGAAGGTCTTCCAATGCCGAGCTCCTCCAGCTTTTTAACCAAAGACCCCTCCGAGTATCGTGGTGGAGGCTGAGTGTGGTGTTGCTCAAGTTTTACTTTACCCAAATACATTTGATCCCCAGCAGTTAAATTCCTAAGAGCCTCAAATACTTCAGAACGATCATCCCTCCCACTCTCATTATCTCTCATTGAGTTAGTTTCCACATCCTCGTAGACAGCTTGGTAGCCAGGAAACTGTACTTTTGAGCTTGCAGAACGAAAGATTATGGACTGGTCAGGTTTCCCAATATCAACTTGTATCTGCTCCATCGTAGCAGGTTCCATCTGGCATGCCATGGTACGGGACCATATAAGTTTGTATAGCTTAAGTGCATCATCGTCCAGCACCCCAGCAAGTGTTGAGGGTAGCTTTCGGATATCAGTGGGTCTAATAGCTTCATGGGCCTCTTGAGCATTCTTTACCTTCTTGAAGTATTTACGAGCATTCTTTGATGCAAAATTATGCCCATACCTTTCGCTGATATAGGATTGAATGTCCTTGGTAGCTTCGTCTGAAATGTGCAATCCATCTGTTCTGATATAAGTTATCAATCCTGTTGCCTTGCCATCAGACAACTGGATCCCCTCATAGAGCTTTTGTGCAAGTTTCATCGTATATGTTGATGTAAAATCCAATTTGTTTGCAGCATCTTGCTGAAGTGTTGATGTTATATAAGGAGGAGGAGGGTTTCTCTGCTTTTTGGTTATCTTAGAGCTTATAACTTCAAAATTTGATGCATTTATCTTCTGTTCAATTTCTGTTGCTTCGGTATGAGAGCTAACAGAGAGCTGGTTTAATTTCTTGGAATCAAAATGAGTCAAGTGGGATGACAAAAAGTTATTGGCTAAATCTAGGTTTCTGTTTTTCTTAAACTCAACCAGGACGGTCCAATATTCCTGTGGTTTGAATCCGTCAATTTCCATTTCTCTGTCACATATAAGTGCTAGGGCAGCAGACTGAACCCGACCAGCAGACTGACAACCAGGTAATTTCCTCCATAGCAGTGGAGAAATGTTGAACCCAATCAGGTAATCAAGAGCACGCCTTGCAAGATAAGCATGTACTAGATTTGCATCAATCTCCCTTGGAGACTGCAGGGAAGCTTTGATGGACGATTCAGTAATTTCATTGAAAACAACCCTTGCCACATTAATATCATCACGTAGGGCATCCTGTTGCCGTAACATCTCTATAATGTGCCAGGAAATAGCCTCTCCTTCACGATCAGGATCTGATGCAAGAACAAGATTCTGGGCTCTGAGAATCAATGACAAACAGATAAGAAACTGAACATGACATTGCCTTAAACAGTCCTAGCTACAAAACAACCATTTTATGAAGAAGAAGAAGAAAAAAATTGGAATTTGGTGTATCTTCCATCTTCTCTATGTAACTGGTCAATTGGTTAACTGAATATTGATGAAACTCAGAACAACTGTATTTTTCCCACTATAATCATGATCATTGAAAAAAAAAAGGACATATGAATCACATAATCACCACTAATCCTTCCCAACGTGTTAGTACTTAGTACTATATCAATAGATTGCTAATCAGAAGTTGGAACAACAGATAACATACCCACTTAACGCAACCTTTATGCTCTTGAGATGAGTCCAGGCAGCAGAAGGTACTTCCCAGACCATGCTGAAGTCATCATCTGGTCGGACAGATCCAGACCTTGCAGCCAAGTCCCTGACATGACCATAACTCGGCAGGACTTCAAACATGTCACCAAGGTACCCTTGGATAACTCTCGCCTTTGTGACAGACTCCACCACCAACACAGATTTTGCTGTGGGAGGATATAGTTTTGGCCATGTTTTGTTTCCCGGGGGCTTACTTTTGCTGCTCACATTTGAACTCTGGTTTGGTACTAACTTACTATGAGATGGCAATGCAGATGCCTCATTCAGTTCTCCAAGAGAATTGCTCTCCTTTGTGGTGGATTTCCTTTTCCTGGGAGAGGTTCTTTTCCCTTGGGCCGAGTCAACCTTCGTTGAGACATTACCAACAGGGCCTACTGTGGAAGAACTAACCGGCGAACTAATCTGGAATACTGCAAGGTTAGTGCAGGTAATTATGCAGCGAAATACATCAAAATACTGTAATTCAATTGCGAACCTCTGATACTGCTGGAGATTGCTCATCTTTAGCAGGATTAGACTTCTTTGCTCGGGGAGTCCTAGAAACTTTTGGCTGATCTACTGCATCAGAAGCAACATTTTTATTCTTTTTGCTTCTTGATTGCTTCTTTGCTTTCTCCTTACCCGTGGAAGTTGACTTCCCATTATTACTAAGAGACAGACCTGAAATCTCCAGGTTGACATCCTTCTCATCAACCTTAACAGGGGTGTCTTTTGTAATGACCAGATCAACATTCTTACTAGCTGATTCTTTAGAGGTTGGAGTGCCTTTCTCAGCCACCTTGTCCGGCATAGCATTTCTTCTATGAACAGCCAATTCCTTAGACCGCTCTGAGTGATTCTTGAAATTTTTAAAGAATGTTTTATTTCCGTCACTAACTACTTTTGATCCAACAGTGCCTTTATCTGCTATTGCTCTTGCATCAGGGGAAAAATGCAATTTCCCTTTTGTGTTGTAACACCGTGAACTTATTCCTCCAAATGACCTGAAACTGAAGATAATGGGCATTGGTCTACTGGCTAATCCCTGCTTTGATGGCGGAAGGATACTAAATGCAGAAGAAGATCCAGGCTCATTAGCATAGGTTCTGAGAGAATGAATTTTCCGTTGAGATGTGACTCTTAAATTCATCGGTTGCATAGTTCTGGTCCCACAACATATCCTGGCTTTACGAGACAGTTTCTCAAATCTGTCAACAGCTGCATGCGTCGAACATTGTAAGCAATTTGTCTGATAATTATGCAATGTCCTGTTCTGCAACTTAACCAAAAAAAAAAATGGGTAAAGTCACTACGGTGGATATCGCAAGAAGGAATTCAGACAAGGGTAAAAATGAGGGTTTCTTTTCCAGACAAGTTCTCTGTTATCTTTTCATCAATCACAAGTGTATAGAACGGGCCAAAACAGATTTTCGAAATTGCCTAATAACCATCATAATGTATATATCTAAAAAATTATAGAAATTCACAAAGTAGGGGAAAAAAGATTGAAAAAAATACAAGGTCCAAAGATTCCTCTGTTTGTGCTACAAAATCTACAAAAAACATTCTTTTTTTCCTTTTTGGCATTAGTTAGGGAACAGAGATAATGGAAAGAGCTCTATCCAGTTTGGTTCCCAATAGTGAGTGCTCCTAATCAGAAGTTCAATAGCATAAGCTTACTTCCATGAGAATTAAAGAAAACATTTGCTCTTTAACTCTAACAAGACATGGACAGCAAAAATAATTCAAATGGATTCCGACTGTGTTTCCCCAACCCAACTATAAACTAACAAGAATAAAAACTTTATTCTCTGAACTGCAATGAAATTATGCATCTCAACTCAGTCAAATTATTCCCTATAGTTTTCACCTATTCCATTTTTATTTCAGAGATTCAACTCAAGGAAGTTACATACTAAATAATATCAATGAGAACAAAAAAGAAAAGGAGAAAAGTGAGCATATTGTTGGATTCTACCACTGATAAACTAAGCTTTTTAACCTTTTCAATTTTCTTTCTTGTAATTCTAAATGGTGAATTCAAACAAATGAACTACAAAGTTTTAAACTTTATCTTCAAATTCCAATTCCTGAAAGCAAATACATTATTCATACCATGATGGAGCGGCAGCTAGTAGTTAATAGGTGTTGAACTAATGCCATTCAAAACCCAAAATAGCTAAAACTGGAGAGCATATAACGGAAAGAGCAAAACCATGAATATTGGTCTCAAATAACAATGTAAAAACATCAGCTTTAAATGGTGACTGCTTTTCTGATTCTTGAGCTTTAGAGCTAATTTTAGAAGACCCAAGAAACAGATAATAATAAATAATAATAATAATAATGAGACCCTTATGTGGACTGCAACCTTACGGGGGTGGGGTGGGTGGTAGGGGTGGTGGNGAAGAAGGAGGCAGAGAGTGAAGGGGTTTTTGGGCAAGGAAGAGGATGAGAGGGTTTAGCAGCAGACGACGTTTTTGTACATAAACTAAGATAAATTTCTCTATTTTCCTTTTTTTCTTTTTTCTTTTTCCACTTTATTTTTGTAAACTTATTACTTTTAGCATTTGAATAACTCTCAAAACAAATAACCTGAATGCTGAATAACAAGATATAAACAAATAATAATATAAAAATTGTGAGCACGTGATTTTTGTTTTACGCGACAATCGCTCCAAAAGAAATAAAATAATAACAA